TTCTCTCTTTGTCTCTTTCTTTCTCTTTCTCTATTTCCCTCTTTCCTTATTTCCTTCTTTATTTCCTCCTTTCTTTCCTTCTGTGCCTCAGGAAATATATAATTTTATTTTTGTGTATTTATTTATGTAGTGTCACGCTTCTGTTCATGCACTTGTACTCAGCTGGTGGATTTTGCTGAGAGAAAAATCTTGCTAATCATTGAGTAAATTCCTGATGATGGATTTCTGCTATAAATGTGACAAAAGATAGCTAATTAGTTTGCTACCTGCAGCAGAGTCTTCAGGAAAGCCATATTTACTCAGAAACGGATATGCAATATTGTGCTTGATATGGTGGAGAAACAGGAAATTATGTACTTTACTCCTGTTGCTTCTCTAATGCTTTTTCTTCCTATTTCTCTTCCTAGCCTCTATGTGAATGCTGATAGGGCACCAGAACATTAATCAATGGTTTCAAGCCAATACTTTGGATTCAGGATTAGAGAGTACAATAGTCCATGGAAGTCACTGAACATTTTCTTTTATTATCAACTTTGCTGCAACCAAATTTTGTTCAGTTATTTCAGGGTCTAACAGAAAACAGAAGCATCACTGATGTGATCTTCTATACAGAAATGTGCAGAAATTGTCACTGATTTTTGCATCAAGGCTAAAATTTTTGCTTAAAACATACAGTATAAGAAGTCATAAAGACAGATACTGAGTATTTCTCCAAGTACATACTAGGTTAGGATGCAGCACCTTGGGGAATAAAATGTGAGCTCCCTAACAGATAGACAACCTGTCATAACATCCTAGAGGAATTGGATCCAAGAGTTATTGGGATCCCCAATAACTCCAATATCCCAGTTTCAACTCCTGTCAAGCTTTCTTTCCTCACTGGCAACTTCTAGAAACACAACATCAGGCCAGAAGGGCCTCTGATCTGATTCAGCACAGCCATTTTAAAAAAAGTGCAGTACATTTAGAAAAGTGTAGCACAGCTTTTAAATTTGTGTTCCTAGTTTTATTCTAAATACTTCACATGAGGGCTAAATTAACAACCTCCAGAGTTCCAGTGGTTTGATGACCTTGAGAGTAAAACCTTAGTGGTGGCCTGAACTTGTCTACTTTTAGCTTTTAGTCACTGAATCTCATGATAACTTTTCCTGTTACATTAATGGAGAATCCATCCTCAGGATAATCTCTGCATGTAAAGTCTTGTAAAAAATTACCAAGTCTACCCTAAACTAGTCCATGAAAATTCAATATTCAATATTTTAATCCCTTTATCAGGTAATTTGTCTTGTAGCACTGTAATTCACTGTCAAACTGGCTTCCCATCTTGCCTCCTGAGGTCTGGCAATTCATGGTGGATGCATATCACTGTTCCTCGCTCTCTGCCCCTCTCTCTTAGATGTTATTGCCCATGAATAAAAGTTTGAAAATTGGCAGCATATCTGCTCTGGAGATACTGTAGTTCAGAAACTGAATATTAACCCAAACAACCATGAAATTCAGCATATCTTTACATTCTGAACCCCAGAAGATGAGGAACCAACATGTTCTCTCTTGTTATTTCTACCAGACAGGAGTGGTAAGTTCCAGCAGTAGGAAGGTGTAACAGCTGGGAACGTTAATCCTCTGTTACTACTCAAGCATGAATTTCTGGCAAAATAACCTCAGTTTTGTAAGACCACATACTTTAGGCCTGGAAATAGGACCTCATATTGACAAGCTCCTCCCTAAGCAAGGAACTTCAAACATTGTTTCTTAAGGGTTTGTGTCTTCAGTGCATAAGGCTACCTACAGCAGTAACACAAGGTCTCGCCTGTTCCCTTGTGTGCCAGGGCACACTCTCTGTCAAAGAGAGCTCAAGCCCAAACCCAGAGCTCTGCTTACTAGCCAAGCAGTAACACTGCTGTTTGTGTGCTGCCTAGCCAGCTGCATAACACCTGTGCTTTGCCTTCCTGCTTTCCCTCTTGTGTGACTGCTATTTTTTCCCACCCAAAAGTTGTAAGAATTTAACCTTCCAAGGTTTGTACATATTTGCAAATACGGCTAAGTAGGTCAGTGTGTTCCAAAGTCCTTCAAGGAGAAAAGGATTCACGGAAAGGGAAGTGCCCAATACTGCAATTGGTTAAGACTCAGCTCCTTAGATAAAGAGATAAAAAGATTATTGAGCACAGTGTCAGCTAAACAACACTCATAACATGATCTCTTCTGATCAGTTCATTATTTACTGCTTTTACCAGCATTTTATTCCGAACATTAGTATGTTGAGAAATACTGGACTAAAAACCCACGTGACTTTGCTGAAAATATTTCAACATGTTTGCAATGAATTGCTTATACCTATGAACTCACTAGTTCTAATACATTTAATATCTGCAACATAAGACTTTGTGCGGTTTTCAGTCAGAAAGGCCTGCTGCATTTATTGTGCATTTGACAATGTATTTCGGTGACATTTACTGAACATTGCGATGCTGGTTGACAGTTTTACTGCACTACATGGTGGCTGACAGTTACAGCTTTTGTCAAATCGATGTGCAATCTCCATTTGGCCAAGTGTTCCTGTTTACCTTGAATTGTTGCACAAGCAGATCAGTATGACAGGCAGGTGTTTCTGGTCCATTTGCCTCAGATGTTAAACAAACACACTTAACTTTACTTGTTGGCACAAATGCTGCAAAAGCCTGGGCGCAGATTCCCTGCTGCAGCATATCCAAAAAATAGCTTTCCTAGGACCTTTCTTGATGAGGTCACACTGCAAATCCTGTGTCCAATTCTGTGCTCCCCAATTCAGGAAGGACACTGAAGTGCTGGAGCACATACAGAGAAGGAAAACAAGTCCTGTGAGGAGCAGCTGAGGGAGCTGGAGGAAACTCGAGAGGGACCTTACTGCTCTCTACAAACACCTGAAAGGAGGCTGTAGCCAGGTGAGGCTTAGTCATTTCTCCCAGGCAAATAGCAATAGGACACGAAGACACAGTCTCAAACTGATCCAGGTTGGATCAGTTGCCTAGGTCGGACATTAGAAAGAATTTCTTCACAGGAAGGGTGATTAGACATTGGAATGGGCTGCCCAGGGAAGTGGCGGAGTCACCACCCCTGGAGGTAAGAAAAGACTGAACGTGGTACTGAGTGCCATGGTCTGCCAGACCAGGTGTTCGGTCACAGGTTGGACTCCACGACCTCAGAGGTCTTTTCCAACTTAACTGATTCTGGACATGTTTTTTACATCCACAAGCTTCTCCCCTGGCGTTGCCAAGGATCGGATCTCAAGTCGCGCGGTACCGCAGCCCACTAGAACGGACCAAATGCCGCACGTCCGAACAGGAGCCGTGGGAGCGACTCCCACAGCGGGAGCTCCGCGGCGGGAGCCGCCCGGGCCCAGGCTGCCCCCCGCGGGACGGGCCGGGGCCAACTGCGCACGCGCGGGGCGGCGGGCGCGGTCACGCGGGGCGGGCGCACGCGCGGTGCGGATGCTCGCTCCGCCGTTCGCGCCGCCGGGAGCGGCGCGGCTCCATGGGGAGAACATGGCTCCCTTCCCCGAGGAGGTGGACGTGTTCTCCGCTCCGCACTGGCGCATGAAGCAGCTCGTGGGGCTCTACTGCGACAAGGTAGACGGGCCGGGGCGGCCCCCGCGCCGCTGCCCCGGGGCGGGAGGGAGGGTTTGGGGAGTGCGCAGCTGTCAGCGCCCCGGCCCCGCCGGTAACTTCTGTCCTGCGCTGCCGCGGGGCTCCCGAGCCCCTCCCGGGCTGCCGGTGCCGCTCCCCGGCGGCGCAGGGCTGGGGCTGCCCTCGCTGCCCTGCCCAGCCGGGCCGGCCGGCGCGGAGGGGTGGCGGTGGCGGCGCGCAGGGAGCGCGCCCGGGCAGCCCGGCAGAGCCGCCCGCGGGCCTGGCGCTCCTGCGCGGGCTGCGAGGCCCGGCCCGGCCCGGCCCGGCCCGGCCCGGCCGTGTTTGTCAATCAGCCGGGCAGGGCACGGGCGCGGGGCGT